TTGTTGGAGAAATCGATAATCACATAATTTATCTTGGACTTTATGTAGATGATGGGTTGATTGCAGCAAAATCTAAGAGTGTAATTAATCAAGTTTTGTATCATTTAGAAACTGAATTTCAGATAACAATTGACGAAGCAGATCAATTTGTTGGTTTTGAAATTCAACGAAATCGTGAGACAAGAACGCTTAAAATAAAACAATCGAGTTATATTCGGAAAATTTTAAGTCGGTTTATGATGGACAACGCAAATGCGGTATGTATACCTGCCGAACCAGGATTGAATCTTAGTGAGGCGAGTATACCTGAACAGAAGAATAAGGATGAGTATATATCTTATCGTGAAGCGGTTGGCTCACTCTTATTTGCAGCAAAAGTAACACGACCGGACATCGAGTATGCAGTTAACACAGTTAGCCAGTTTGTGAACAATTTCAATGAAACCCATTGGAGTGCAGTGAAAAAGATCTTTTGATACCTGCGTGGAACAATTGACTATGGACTAGTCTACGGAGCAAGTGGGAGACAGACAAAGTCAGCAGAGGGTATTGGTGCAAGTGGGAGACAACTAGAGCTGGCAGGGTATACCGATGCCGATTATGCTGGATGCCTAGATACTAGACGATCAAGAAGTGGTTTCGTATTCACCCTGAATAGGGCACCAGTGAACTGGTGCAGCAAAAGACAAGATATTGTCTCACTATCCACCACCGAAGCAGAATATATTGCACTCAGTCATGGAGCCAAGGATGCGGTCTGGTTGCAGAAGATTTTAAATGAACTACAAGTGCAGTGCAAAAGTGTAATGATTCACGTGGACAATCAATCAGCAATTAAGCTAGCAAATAATCCAGAATACCATAAGAGATCTAAACACATAGATTTCCGGTATCATTACATTCGTGAATTAGTTGAGAAAGAAATGGTTAATATTATGTACGTACAATCAAAAGAACAATTAGCTGATATTTTTACAAAACCATTGCCTAAAGAACAGTTTATCTATCTGAGAGATAAGCTTAGTATGTCTGATGATAAAATCTAAATAAGTGGGAGTGTTGGAAGTATATTTAGTTTTAGATATACAGTACTTGCAAGTACAGTACCCTCGCTTCCTTATACCTGACCCTTTCCCCTTCCATAGCCATTGACCCCCTAATATTGCATTTTTGTTGTAGGCGTAAGTTGATGTCACAACTAACACTTTTCCGGGTCATCAGTTGAGCAGATATCCTTAAAGCAAGCGGTTACTGTTGCCTAACAGTCCCTTTTCATTTATTGTATTTCAACACTTATGTATACAGTTTTCATTTCAATTATAAATAAAACCAAGCATTAAACTTAATAATTGTTTATCAATTAGTAAAACCAACAGGTTATGGGCCCAGCACGCTTCCACTGCGCCACAAGTTTTATTTAGTGAGTGAAACAGTAAATAAAAGTGTAAGTTCGCGAGTTTTCCGGTGATCGGTTTGTGGTTGTGTCAGATATTGATTGCAAATTGTGACCAAAAATTGTTTATAATAATGGCTGAGAAGGATACAGTGAATTTGATCAAATTAGACGGGACGAACTATCAAATGTGGAAGTTTGGTATCACGTTCTTACTCGACTCGAAAGACTTGTCAGATTTTGTTGATGGAACAGTCGAAGAACCTGACAAGGTGACAAAGTTGGCTGATTGGAAAATGTGGCGCAAGAATAGATCACAGGCAGCAGTGATCTTACTGAGTTCGGTTGATCAAGCATTGCATCCCAACTTGATTAATTGCAGCAGTCCTCAAGGAATTTGGGACAAGCTTAAAGCACTATACGGTGAAGTGAGTGAAGATGCAGCGGCCAGTGCATGGCAACAATACTATGACTTCAAAATTGTTGACAGTGAGCCCGTCAACGTGCAGATAGAGAAGTTTGAAAGTATTTGTAAGAAACTTGAAAACGCTGGTGAAAAAGTATCAGAGAAATCCGTGATGTCGAACCTTTTGAGCAGTTTGACACCAAGATTTTCGGCATTTAGAATGGCATGGGAGTGCACTGCCAAGGATGCACAAAAGATAGAAAATCTTACAGTAAGAATTATCCGCGAAGATAAACGGCTGAAAGGAGATGAAGAAAGTGAGACAACATTGGCTTTTCAAGTTAATGCCATGCGTTTAAAGAAGCAAGATAGACAAGAAGCAGCAAAGAGAATTCAAGAACTAAAGAAGAGAACCAGATGCAATAAGTGCAAGAAATTAGGACACTGGATGCGAGAATGTCCAGAAAACCTTGAAGATGATAGAAAATATGCGGGCAAAAATGACGAGGACTTAAAAACAATAGAAACCTATGTTTGTGAAACTTCAGCATTACACTCAGAAATATCCCTTAAAGAAAGAGATATTTGGATAGCAGATTCAGGAGCGAGTATGCACATAGCATGGGAAAGAGGAATTTTTACAACCCTACAACCCTCCAAAGAGATAACATTTGTAAAGATTGCGGACAACAAAGTATTGCACACAGCTGGGATCGGAACAGTGGACATCCAAGTAAACCTAAATGGTAATGGTAGGCTACAATGGAGAGTCTTCAAATTATCGCCTATGGGATAAAGAAAGCCGAAAAATACATGTGAGCAGTGATTTCATCTTCAATGAAAAACAGGAAGTTAAAGGTATAGAAAATAATGAAAATAAATACCAAACTTTTGACCTGAGCCCAGTTACCTCAGAGAGGACAGAGACAGATGATCAACAGCATGAAGAGGGAAGTTCAACAGAAGAATAGAATGAAGAAGGTCAGCACGGAGAGATAGAGAACAACAATATAAGGGAACATCAAGAGGTGAGAAATGAAAATTACAGAGAAAGATTAAGAGAGAGAACACATATAAATCGCCCAGATTACTACGGTATACCTGTAGCACATGCAGTGGACATCGCCCCAACCTCTTACAAAGAAGCACTCTTATCACCAGAGTATGAAAAGTGGAAGGAAGCCATGAGTGAAGAGATGCTAGCACTTGAAGAAAACAATACCTGGGAGTTGCAAGAATTACCCCTGGGTAGCCGAGCAATAGGTTGCAAATGGGTATTTGCGATAAAAACAGATAGTAATGGCCAAGTAAGTAGGTACAAAACCAGGCTCGTAGCAAAGGGCTATTCCCAACGAGAGGGAATTGACTACCTTGAAACCTTTGCCCCTGTTGTACGTTATGAATCTATACGAGTCATATTAGCCATGTGTGCAAGTGAAGATCTTGAAATGATGAAATTTGACGTCAAAACAGCCTTTTTGAATGGTGAATTGAAAGAGGTAATTTATATGGAACAGCCTGAAGGTTTTAAGAATGAAAAAAACCCAAATCTGGTGTGCAAATTATCTCGAAGTCTCTACGGACTTAAGCAATCACCAAGATGCTGGAATACTAAATTTGTGAAGTTTTTAAATGACTTTAACTTCAAAAGTATCGAGAGTGATAAATGTGTATTTGTTGGAGAAATCGATAATCACATAATTTATCTTGGACTTTATGTAGATGATGGGTTGATTGCAGCAAAATCTAAGAGTGTAATTAATCAAGTTTTGTATCATTTAGAAACTGAATTTCAGATAACAATTGACGAAGCAGATCAATTTGTTGGTTTTGAAATTCAACGAAATCGTGAGACAAGAACGCTTAAAATAAAACAATCGAGTTATATTCGGAAAATTTTAAGTCGGTTTATGATGGACAACGCAAATGCGGTATGTATACCTGCCGAACCAGGATTGAATCTTAGTGAGGCGAGTATACCTGAACAGAAGAATAAGGATGAGTATATATCTTATCGTGAAGCGGTTGGCTCACTCTTATTTGCAGCAAAAGTAACACGACCGGACATCGAGTATGCAGTTAACACAGTTAGCCAGTTTGTGAACAATTTCAATGAAACCCATTGGAGTGCAGTGAAAAAGATCTTTTGATACCTGCGTGGAACAATTGACTATGGACTAGTCTACGGAGCAAGTGGGAGACAGACAAAGTCAGCAGAGGGTATTGGTGCAAGTGGGAGACAACTAGAGCTGGCAGGGTATACCGATGCCGATTATGCTGGATGCCTAGATACTAGACGATCAAGAAGTGGTTTCGTATTCACCCTGAATAGGGCACCAGTGAACTGGTGCAGCAAAAGACAAGATATTGTCTCACTATCCACCACCGAAGCAGAATATATTGCACTCAGTCATGGAGCCAAGGATGCGGTCTGGTTGCAGAAGATTTTAAATGAACTACAAGTGCAGTGCAAAAGTGTAATGATTCACGTGGACAATCAATCAGCAATTAAGCTAGCAAATAATCCAGAATACCATAAGAGATCTAAACACATAGATTTCCGGTATCATTACATTCGTGAATTAGTTGAGAAAGAAATGGTTAATATTATGTACGTACAATCAAAAGAACAATTAGCTGATATTTTTACAAAACCATTGCCTAAAGAACAGTTTATCTATCTGAGAGATAAGCTTAGTATGTCTGATGATAAAATCTAAATAAGTGGGAGTGTTGGAAGTATATTTAGTTTTAGATATACAGTACTTGCAAGTACAGTACCCTCGCTTCCTTATACCTGACCCTTTCCCCTTCCATAGCCATTGACCCCCTAATATTGCATTTTTGTTGTAGGCGTAAGTTGATGTCACAACTAACACTTTTCCGGGTCATCAGTTGAGCAGATATCCTTAAAGCAAGCGGTTACTGTTGCCTAACAGTCCCTTTTCATTTATTGTATTTCAACACTTATGTATACAGTTTTCATTTCAATTATAAATAAAACCAAGCATTAAACTTAATAATTGTTTATCAATTAGTAAAACCAACAGGTTATGGGCCCAGCACGCTTCCACTGCGCCACAAGTTTTATTTAGTGAGTGAAACAGTAAATAAAAGTGTAAGTTCGCGAGTTTTCCGGTGATCGGTTTGTGGTTGTGTCAGATATTGATTGCAAATTGTGACCAAAAATTGTTTATAATAATGGCTGAGAAGGATACAGTGAATTTGATCAAATTAGACGGGACGAACTATCAAATGTGGAAGTTTGGTATCACGTTCTTACTCGACTCGAAAGACTTGTCAGATTTTGTTGATGGAACAGTCGAAGAACCTGACAAGGTGACAAAGTTGGCTGATTGGAAAATGTGGCGCAAGAATAGATCACAGGCAGCAGTGATCTTACTGAGTTCGGTTGATCAAGCATTGCATCCCAACTTGATTAATTGCAGCAGTCCTCAAGGAATTTGGGACAAGCTTAAAGCACTATACGGTGAAGTGAGTGAAGATGCAGCGGCCAGTGCATGGCAACAATACTATGACTTCAAAATTGTTGACAGTGAGCCCGTCAACGTGCAGATAGAGAAGTTTGAAAGTATTTGTAAGAAACTTGAAAACGCTGGTGAAAAAGTATCAGAGAAATCCGTGATGTCGAACCTTTTGAGCAGTTTGACACCAAGATTTTCGGCATTTAGAATGGCATGGGAGTGCACTGCCAAGGATGCACAAAAGATAGAAAATCTTACAGTAAGAATTATCCGCGAAGATAAACGGCTGAAAGGAGATGAAGAAAGTGAGACAACATTGGCTTTTCAAGTTAATGCCATGCGTTTAAAGAAGCAAGATAGACAAGAAGCAGCAAAGAGAATTCAAGAACTAAAGAAGAGAACCAGATGCAATAAGTGCAAGAAATTAGGACACTGGATGCGAGAATGTCCAGAAAACCTTGAAGATGATAGAAAATATGCGGGCAAAAATGACGAGGACTTAAAAACAATAGAAACCTATGTTTGTGAAACTTCAGCATTACACTCAGAAATATCCCTTAAAGAAAGAGATATTTGGATAGCAGATTCAGGAGCGAGTATGCACATAGCATGGGAAAGAGGAATTTTTACAACCCTACAACCCTCCAAAGAGATAACATTTGTAAAGATTGCGGACAACAAAGTATTGCACACAGCTGGGATCGGAACAGTGGACATCCAAGTAAACCTAAATGGTAATGGTAGGCTACAATGGAGAGTCTTCAAATTATCGCCTATGGGATAAAGAAAGCCGAAAAATACATGTGAGCAGTGATTTCATCTTCAATGAAAAACAGGAAGTTAAAGGTATAGAAAATAATGAAAATAAATACCAAACTTTTGACCTGAGCCCAGTTACCTCAGAGAGGACAGAGACAGATGATCAACAGCATGAAGAGGGAAGTTCAACAGAAGAATAGAATGAAGAAGGTCAGCACGGAGAGATAGAGAACAACAATATAAGGGAACATCAAGAGGTGAGAAATGAAAATTACAGAGAAAGATTAAGAGAGAGAACACATATAAATCGCCCAGATTACTACGGTATACCTGTAGCACATGCAGTGGACATCGCCCCAACCTCTTACAAAGAAGCACTCTTATCACCAGAGTATGAAAAGTGGAAGGAAGCCATGAGTGAAGAGATGCTAGCACTTGAAGAAAACAATACCTGGGAGTTGCAAGAATTACCCCTGGGTAGCCGAGCAATAGGTTGCAAATGGGTATTTGCGATAAAAACAGATAGTAATGGCCAAGTAAGTAGGTACAAAACCAGGCTCGTAGCAAAGGGCTATTCCCAACGAGAGGGAATTGACTACCTTGAAACCTTTGCCCCTGTTGTACGTTATGAATCTATACGAGTCATATTAGCCATGTGTGCAAGTGAAGATCTTGAAATGATGAAATTTGACGTCAAAACAGCCTTTTTGAATGGTGAATTGAAAGAGGTAATTTATATGGAACAGCCTGAAGGTTTTAAGAATGAAAAAAACCCAAATCTGGTGTGCAAATTATCTCGAAGTCTCTACGGACTTAAGCAATCACCAAGATGCTGGAATACTAAATTTGTGAAGTTTTTAAATGACTTTAACTTCAAAAGTATCGAGAGTGATAAATGTGTATTTGTTGGAGAAATCGATAATCACATAATTTATCTTGGACTTTATGTAGATGATGGGTTGATTGCAGCAAAATCTAAGAGTGTAATTAATCTGTCAACATGATTACGGCCGCAATTCTTGACGGATCTCTATGAAACTCAATAAATTTATTCTATGAACGAAAATTTTGGTCATATTCAAAAATGGGCAAAATCATTCTATTAGTTCCAAAGTTGTGGGTGTTCATAGAAATCAAAATTTTGCGAGATTTTTCAAAATAACTTCGCAACCATAATTGGTAACTAAATTTTGGCAATTGAATTTTAAAGTTTATATAATTAACTTCAATTTATCTTATGATAATTTCTTTTATCATCAATCTTTCTATTTTTTTCTGCAGCTTCTAAAATCAGTAAAAATATGAAAATTATTTGTAAGTGAGTATCCTCGAATAAATACTGCATAACTCATTGTATTAAAATTCGGTAAATCCAAAACGTAAATATTGTAGGATATTCAACGATAATTTGACAGAGAATTAGACTATTATGAAATTTTTTATATCGTCACGTTTCAAACGTTTATTCGGTCTTCTTCAGGTTCATTAAAAAGTCATAACAGTAGACAGCATATCACTTCAATCGCGACTTACAACACTAGCCATGAACGTTCAAATATTCTATTAACTAATCTGGTACAAAAATATCAATGAAAAACAACCGATTAGACAGATTTTCAAATTTTACGAAAAAATTACAGTTTTTAGGATAAAAACAGGTCCCTCGTAGAAAAAATTTCAAGTATTACACTTTATACATGTGTAACAACTTAGATCCCTGATAAATTCTTAATATAAACCAAAAATGACTATTTTCTTTTTGAAAAACTCGATTAAAGAAAACCATTTTCCCCAAAACATAATCCAACAATTTAAAAAAACACATGACCAGTCTAGCACAGGCATTCTTGTAGTGTTGATTCATTTTCGTTTTATGTAATTGAAAAAGTGTTCTATAATTATGTAGAATTCGTGGACTCTAACAATTTGGAAGCGTTTCAAGTTGGAATAAATAAGAAACTCGCCACGTGACTGGCGCACAGTTTAAATATGCACACTCGACACTTGAGTCACTTGAGTCACGCGTGCTTTATTCTTAAGCTTGCCGCTCTCTTCTCTTCTCTCTGACATTTTTCCCGAACTATTTTAGTATTGCACGTCCATTAACTCTTTTCGTCAGCGTCATCAGTGCCGCGACAATGTAATTTTAATCGTCATCATCATTATTAATTTCATTGCTTTCTTACACATTTTTTATTTTTTTCAATTATTATATTATATTATATTATATCTATTATCTAATCATTTAAATACTCACGAAAGATAACTCAGTATTATAGATCTACATATATGTATATATAAATATATCCATACATATGATTGTCAACTCGATGAGGTTTCTTCGCTCGTCACAAAACATTATCACGATGTCAGGGTCACGGACAACCAACGCACATGATAACACTCTTTTTATTACTGATTACTTATTACTTATGTATAGTTGTTTCTATATTAACATAACATATCAATATACTATACTTATATAGTATTAACTGATATAAGAATTTGTTAATATTCAATAAGCTTTATTAACTGTTAACATTAAATCATATAATACATTTTTTTTGAACAGTTAATAAATATTAATTAACTATTGAGAAATATTTAATAACTGTTAATAAATGTACGTTTTTGTTTGAACTATTCAATATATGAATATACAGTTTCGAAATCAATTAATTTATTAAAAGTTGATAAATTTTTCTAAAGGTGTGTTAAGGAATGAAATTAACCATTTCAGATATAGAGTAAAGTAAAATAAATCAAAAACCTACTTCAAAAAGTCTCCATTAGGTAAATATTCTCTAAGTTTTATTAACAGTTATTAAATGATCTTTTAAGATTAAATTATATATTAAATATATATCATCAAATGATAAGTTCTTCTATCACTCGGTTGAGAAATAAATTTCATAATTTAAAATAAATAGCAACATAAATTGGATCAAAAATTTAGTTCACAACGTCATGCCTAAATGGCTACAGTCCTCGTAGTGAAAATTTTCACATTTAGATATTAAAGTTCGTTGAAAAATTTTGAGAGGTCCAGGGTTCCAATCCTAGACCAAGTCATTTTTTCCTATCTACTGATAGAAGGATTTGTTGATATTTAACAAGTTTTATTAACTGGTAATAAATGATCTTTTAACATCAAACGATTTAATAAATATTCACAAACAATCAATGAATTATTTATTAACTGCAATATGTTAACAGTTCATAAATATTTGTTTATGTATGTATTTATTATTTATTTTTAAAGGTACATCTTTTAAGTACAAATGAGTTCAAATAATACAAAAAATAAAGGAAATACAGTGCTGTTGAAAAACAGTTCAACATGCGCTAAGTGATTGCATTTTCGATTCTCTTATTTTCCATCAAGTCTTGATATAATAGAAAATAACTTTTAAGGATTTTGTCATATAAATTCAAGATTTTTATATAAACTCACATCGTTTGCATTTAGATAATTGCGAATAAAAAAATTAGCTCCTGGTTAGTTATATAGGGGAAATTATGATAGCAGGGAATGATTTAAGGTATCATTTGCTCTAGCTTGGCAGGTAGAGAATATTTGTTTACAATTGATAAATATTTATTAACTGTTAATCAATATTTATCAATTGTTAATAAACATTAGTTTAGATTCTTGAATTAAAAGTGAGTATAAAAATTAAACTTTGAGACTTTTTATAACCCTATAACTTTAACAGACAATTCTATTAGATCAGAATCATTGATTACTTTTGAATAAAAAAAATATCCGGAATAAAATTAATAATACAACAAAGATTGTAATAAATAATAGACTTGTTTTTTGCGGTGAAAATGAAAAGTGTATCGTATCTTTATTATGAACGCCTGGATCGAAAAAAAATCTTAATTTTGGCTTAAAATTTAAGTAAAAATCCTAACATTTGACTTACTTTTGACTTTTTTTTGACTTAGTTAGCATCGATTTAAGACAAAAAAGTTTAAATCAAATCAGTATCACTTGGTTTTGTATCAGAGTTGGCTTTATGACAAAAAAAATCAAAATTAAGTCAATATCACTTGCATTTCTTTCATAGTTAGCTTTTTTTAAGACAAAAAAAGTCATAATTAAGTCAAAATAAAATTAATTTTAACATAGTTTATGAATTATAAAGTGACAAGAATTGAAAGTTTAATGAGACGTATTGCATAGAATCATTTTTGATATAATCATATATATTAAGTTAAAAAAACTATAAATAGATAATCAAGTAATCGGCGATTTTATACACGGTCGATTTATCGCTTATGTATTTTGTAACAGCCAGATATCATTTATTTCAATCATAGTTGTAATTGATGTACCTGAAGTTCCGATCGTTTTTTTATGAACGAAAATAGAAAAAAAATTTTATTGCTTGTGAAACTGAAAATGGTTTTTCGGCTCCAAATAAAAACAAATAGCCCTAAAAATGATATATCGACTCCTCTAAAAACCGAAACTACCCCTCCAGCCACCCCAAAGACAGAGTTTTTTTTTAAATTCTGAAAAAATCCTTCCAAGGGTCCTTGGAGGCTGCCGATTTTTTAGAGTACTTCTAGTACCCCCCCCCCCACATAATAGAAAAAATCATCAGGCTGCTAACACCCTCGGAACTCACCCTCCAGCCACCCCAAAGACTCATAAATTGAAAAAAAATGTAGAAAAAATCCTTGCGAGGGTCCTTGGAAGCTGCCGATTTTTAACAGTACTCCTAGTACCCTCCCACATGATATAAAAAATCATCAGGCAGCTAACACCCCCGGAACTACCCCTCCAGCCA